TAGTAACAAATTTTTACATCAGAATTTCAGAATAAACCATTAAAACAGAGTGATCCTTTAGCAAATGAATGTCTTGCTCTATGTGTTGCATAATTTTCTTAAGTATACCGTCTTATTGTTTTTAGAATTTAATCACTCAGCAATATTGCAAATTGATTTTTGTCGTTTCAATTTCAGATGTAAAGTGCATGGTCCTCTAAAGAAAATATTGAAGATGCTGGAGTTTGGAAACAAATATTTGTAAAAACCGAAACTGAATTATTCTTTTCCGGGGTTTTAATTTTTCGTTGTTCAAAATTCTCATGATGAATTCCAAAATTAACTTGGAATTCTGCTCTGAATTATCTTGAAATTGTTCTGAAATAAACCAGAAAACACTCCGCGTAATAATTACCGTTGAATTCTTTTAGGAATTTTCTTCCAACCCCTTCTAAGAATTTATTGGAATCCTTCATATAATTCCCGTTCCCGCCTATCCGGAACTTTGATTCCTTTAAAAATCTTTTCAAATATTTCTTTTAACTCTATTCAAAACAAAAGAAATCTTTCGAAAATTAATCTATAAACCCCTTGGAGTATTTTAAAGAATTTCTTTCTAATTATCAGCAAATTTTTTGGAATCAATTTTGTTTGGGTTATGTGATGAATCATTCGCACTAGGGTTGAAATTATTGCCAGAACATTTTAAGAACTCTGTTTCTTGTTGAATTCCAATCATAATTCTCTTGGAATTCTTCTTAAAATTCATCTGTCATGTTCCTCACGATGCCCATACAAATCTCATCAGAACCACGTAGGAATTTTCTGCAATGTTTTATTTTTATTTTCACAATTCTTTTTTAAATCTACTAAAATTACCTAACAGTTTAATTTAGAACTTGCATTCTTCTCCAAAGAAATCCTTCCAAATTCATTCAACAATTTCTATGGATTTCATGTAAGAATAATTCTGGAAATCTGCTCTTCTCCTTCGAAAACTGTGTGGGAATCCTTCTCAATATTTGTTTTTAATCAACACTTTGAATTCTTTTAAATTTACTAAAAATTCCAGGGTTTGTTCGCCAGATTCAACAGATTGCTATGTAATTTGTTATTACCCTTAAAATGCTTCTAAGCCTCAGAGCGTGACAATAATGACTTCACGAGTCATAGGTATGATGTTTTATTTTATAAATCTGTGATCTTGAAAAAAATTCAAAATTTCACATTTTAATTATTGTTTCTCCAAATCTTGCATCACGAAGCATGTTATTAATCACAAATTTTGAAGAAAAGTTCTAGTTTCAGACTCTACACAAATTTCAAAGCTCCAGAATCTTGGGAATCTTCTTAAATCATATTTTTTTTTATACTATCAGTAAATTTTGTTTTTTTTTTGTTGCATATTAACAACCGGGAATTTTTAAGATTTGAACCGGGAAAACCGGGAAAAAACCGGGATTACTACAAATTTGGATCGCCTACAATTCAAAACCGGAAAGAGTTGAGATAATAGATATTTCAGACATAACATTTGATAACGGCACAAAAGCATTTGTAAACAAACCTTCTTAGGCCCTTTACACGCGAACCAAAGTACGCCCACGCAAACCAACAACATCATCGCATAGGGGCAACTATCACCTTTCCGTAAGTGGTATTGGTTTGCGTGGGCGTACTTTAGTTCGCGTGTAAAGGGCCTTAGAATGTTTGTTTACAAATGCTTTTGTGCCGTTATCAAATGTTATGCCTGATTTGATCAATTAAAAGAACTTAATGCTCTTCACATTTATTCCGTCCACTAGCGGTCCTACGTCAAGCTTCCGTTTGTGCCCTTAGGCACAGACCCTTCTACTTTTTTTTTGTCTTCGGGTCTATCTGGAAAGGATTGGAACCCGTTGGTTACAACGGTTCCCGCGTTGACTGTTCCTTACTTTCTCACTCTAATCAAAATTTCCTTCGATGAGTGAGAAAACAGCACCCAGCGCGAGCGAAAACAAGAGTTGCCAGATCATTGCACACATAACCAACTTGAATTAATTCAAAACAAAAATACTAGCGAACCTGGCGGTGAGGGGCGGAAGGTGGACTAAAATCCTATAACCACAAACGAAGTGACAGACGGAGCGGCTCGAAAACTTTGGTGACGAACCTGCTATTGTAATTTTTCAGTATACCACATGGCAACACTACTGCTGGATTGTACCACATGGCAACACTAAATGTACTAGAATGTTTTGGTTCTATCTCTTTCACTCTACCAAAACTGAAATGCATAAAAAAATGACAAAATGATACACTCTTTGCACACTGTCAAAGATCATTGCACACAAAATCAACTTTGTTCAAATCGAAACAAAAATACTAGCCCATCTGGTGGTTGATGGTACAAGGTTTTAAGAAAATTCTATTACAGCAAAGCACATTATTTTAATTAATTTGTTCGCCAGTTAGTCGTCTGTCACTTCGTTTGTGAAAGTACTAAGTTACTAACGGATTTCCAAACTACATGGCGTATTAGATCGACTCAAATTTAAGTTTAAATTACTCATACTCTAGAAAACGTAGTTTACTTGTAGACTGAGTAAAATTTTCCGTGCCTCTTCAATCTTTTCGAATATGAGAAAAATCTACGAAAAATTTACTCATTCTAGAAGTATATATACTAATTTCATATGTACATCGAGATGTTACTCATATTGCTCGGAAAGTTTTACTCAGTCTATGAGTTAAGTACGTTTTCGAGAAAATGAGTGAACGAATCTGGACTTTGAGTCGACCTCATTTGTCGTGTAATCGTAATTTACGTTTTTATTAAATGCTTTTGACGTATACGGCGTGAATGGGTGCATTTCCAACTCCAATTAGGTTCAATTCGTTAAAATCAGGTCTTTTTTGCTCGATCATGACTTTTGCTGACATTTAAAATTTCGTATCTATTTCATGACGACATTTCTGCAATTCACAGACATTTTTCGTAGACTTCTGAAAAAAATCTGGCATGTTTCCGACCCATAGATTGAGAAGCGCTGATCTAAAACAATCACGCCAACTTCAGTCCAATTATTTCACATTGCGAATATGTGGTACAATATCCAGCTAATGTGCACACTACGCTAATTCATGCTAATCCACCACCTTCCTAATGCTTCCTGCCTGCCATTAGCAGTGCCATCAATTTCCTCCGGGCAACCATTGTTGATCTTTTCGTATGTTTCTCCTTTATCCACACTCGCGCTGCGAAAAAAAATAACCAACTACAGCTTGACCGGAAGCTCCGGACATCGCCAGCGGAAGCACATTTGAAAAGAACCGACTTCCATCACGCTCACACGGTGATGGAGGGAAGGATTGAGTTGTTTTCCTTTCGAGAAAATTTACATTTTACTGACTAGCGTACCAGTGAGCAGTGAGTATTGGTGAGCATTTTGGTTCCGAAAAGAACAATATCTGAAAATCAAGATAGAAGCTCCCAGGAGGATGAATTTTGCGGACAGATTAATTCATTATAATTCATCACGCAACCACGTGACTCGTTGGTTTTGAGAACAGAAGTGCTGCAGTTGCAAAATTGGAACGTGATGTAAGGACTTATAAGGACTTGGGAACGTGGCGTGGCAGGAATGGGGCTAAAGCGGGACGGCTCATAAATATTCATTCGTGCAGCGTGATGCGATGGTATGCAATGGAATGGAGATCGTTCGATTGCAAAACCGATACGGATTAGGCGCCTGGAATGTGGCATCGAAGAGATTTCGCAGTGGATATTTGTGATAAAACGGGGAAGGGGGAATGCAATCTAGATGTAAACATGCATTGGTTATTCTTCTTTTTCTATTTGGGATATCACGTCTCAATTTGAAATTTGCGTTTGCCCTGAACTAGCTGTTACATGAGCACTTCCACAGTTATTAATTGAGAGCTTGCTAAGTCTGCACCGTTTTCGCGTTACAGTAATGGCCCGATTTTGTCAGCCCCTTCGCGCATCAGACTGTTATCTGTCAATAATTTTACATAACCGTAATTCCAAATCCTCTGGTTTAATCTTCAAGATGGATGTTTAAGGTATACTTTTGTGCTCACTGAAAAAGCGCATGAGCTTCGTAGAACATTGGAAAAGATTTTCAAAAAGAGGGCCGGCATTAGATTGTGTGGTAAGAACCTCCACCTTCGACAACTAACTAGGCTTTCGAGACCACATTTGGTTGTTAAAGTAACGAAAATATAGTTCCATTTTGGAGGAAAGCAATTGCTTGCACAAACTTTTGAATTTAGCCTTTTTGAAAGAGAAACAACGGTGCAACAAAGTTGGGTACTACTTGTAGTTAATATTTTCGTGAGCTAGCGTATACGATAGATATATCATATGAAAAACGGTTGTAGTATGTACGTAGAGTCTGTGTTTTCCCCCTTAGGATGAGAAATTGGAAATGTTTGCACTAAACTTTAAGTGTATAAATTGGCGAACTTCAGCGATGTTTCATGCCGTATTGCCCCAGCTGCATTTTTTGGAACAGATGTGCGCATTTCGTGCAATTTTACATTCAGCTTAATATCACAATCATGCACAACCATTTGGAATGTGTTGGAAAAGTGTGCTAACTTTCCCCATAATCGCCGAAAGCTCAAGTTAATATCTTTTCACACAACTCGTTCTAAAACGCCCAACAAAGTGTAGTCAATTCACCATGAAAATAAAATTAATTACCCTGCCAAAAAATTAAGGGCATTTGTAGAAACTCTGCCTATCAAACGCTGCCATCAACACTTGAGCGTACAAATTGACTATTAACTTTGACAAGCATCGCGTGCCCTGTACACATAGAAAGAAAACCATGTCCAAATTTGGCACCTCGAAAAGCAAAACGCTTAGACTTGGGGCTGTGAAACAATCGAACAAAAAGTGGGCCGTACGATAGGGCGAGGGGACCAGCCGAAACGTAATTGAAAATGGGCGGCCCGAAATTAATGGTGTCAAATATGCTTCTCTCGTTCCCTATTTCCTTTATTTTGCTGCACAGGTGATTGACCCGATAAACAAACTCCTGGATACGGTGGACTATGACTCGGTGTTCTACTCGCTGGATTGGCACCCGAGCGATCATGTTTCCTTCATCGATAACATCAAGCAGCGGCCCATTCACCCGACCAGCCCGGTGAGTGTGTTTTCAAAATCAGTTTCAGGTTCAAACGACGACCCGGCAATGATTGTATTTTCCTGCTCCCCTTCCACGACAGTTGAATGCCGATAACGCCCAGGTGTACGACACGGTTATTTTCGCCGGCCCGCCTCCGATGAAGCAACGGCTTTGGCCACGACATTGCGTTCAGGATTCGTGGGGTTCCGAGTTGCACAAGGATCTGAAGGTAACTTTTCAATTATATCGCCTGACGGGCATTTTCTGACCATTCACCGGGTGCCGAATTTAGATTCTCGATCACGGCATCAAGGTGTACAAGGGCACCAATCCGGAGGTGGACTCGTATTCGGTATTCTGGGACAACAAGAAGCTTTCGGACACGACGCTGTGCGGCCAGCTGCGGATGAAGGGGTCCTCCGACATTTACGTCTGTGGGCTCGCTTACGACGTGTGCGTCGGTGAGTATGTTGCAGTTTGCCATGAGTTTTTGACAGTGGGTGGATAGGATGGACATAATTAGATTGTGTCTTCCTCTTATTCGTTTCCCACGCTTCATTTCAAATAAATATGCGGAACTTAATACGTAGAACAAGGTATCTTCATGACTAGGAATTATCGCAGGGCTGAAAGTTTGTCACTTATTTTTTAAGATGATCACTTAACCCTCCGTTACTCGCGCTGTTTTCTTTGTACAACACACATGAGTTTTTCATTGCCATTTTGTTGCTGAGTTACCAATTGATTTGAAACCAACGAGTATTCTTCAAAAAACTTGTACTGATCTAAACAAGTTAAATTTTTATTACAGTAAACACCTAAAAATGCAGATAATAGGGAAAATGTAAATGGAAACCTCGTAAACTGTGACCAGACTACGTGGGATTTGACTTAATTGATTACAACATGGAATATATCGAGATGCTGACCAGATAGAAAGTTACTGTCTTTCAGAAAAATTTTCAGGAGGTCAATGCCTATTGCTTGGTGTTGCTTGGTGGTGCCAAGTTCAGAATTTTCTCACTACGCGACGCTAGTATACACGTGAAATTATCTTATAAAATATCTCGAGTTCCCGACCACATAGAAATGTACTGTCATCGGCATAGTTGTTCAGGAGGTCAAGGCCTTTTGGCAGGTGCACAGTAGTTCAGAGTTTTCTCACCTCACGGCGCTACTATACATGTGAAATCATCGCATATAAAATATCTCTAGATCCTGACCAGATAGCAAGTAAATGTATTCGGCAAAGTCTTTCAGAAAGTCAAGATCTTTTTGTTGGGTGACAATAGTTCAGAAAGTTCTCACTATGCGGTGCTAGTATATACGTGTCTTTCTCGCATATTCAATAGCTCGAGATCTTGATCAGCTAGAAAGTTGCTGTCTTTGGCAAAGTTTAGGGGGTCAAGACTTTTTGGTTGGTAGACAGTAGATAAGAATTTTCTCTCCACGTGTCGTTAGTATACATGTACACTTCTCGCATATGCTATATCTCGAGATCCTAATCAGATAGAAAATTACCGTCTTCGGCAAAGTTATTCAGGAGGTCAAGGTGTTTTGGCTGGTTAACAGTAGTTCAGAATATTTTCAGTATGTGGTACTAGTGTGCATGTAAAATATTTGTATATGCTATAGCTTAAGGTCAGGAAGTAACTGTCATCGTCAAAGTTGTACATGCGGCAAAGTTCTTCTGGATGGTGAGTTGATTAGTTCAGAACTCTTTTGCTTTGTTGCGTTAGTATACATCTGAATTGTAGAATATACTGAATCAAATGCAGCTTTATTATTTGTGAAATGGAACTCGATATTTCCATTATACCCAATATAGGTTTAGAAGTCATGAATATAGTTCGATGTTATCATATTATTTCAATTTGTACCTTATTTAGTGCGAAGCTTCGAGCCACATTATATTTTAAGCAGATTTTCTCTAAATGTGATATTTGCAACCTTATCAACTAATCATCTTCATTAGCATCATCTGTTGCAAAACTGCTGCACAGCGTTGCACATAAGATATAAATGGGCGGCCAAAAGTGCCAACAATGCAATGTTCGATTTTTATATGTTTTCATCGTTATTTTGTAGTTTATTGTTTATATTTTCAGGATTCATGAAAATATGTCAACAGGAAGAAAGTTTTATTATGAAAAATGTCTCCAAAGTTGGCCATTTTAGAAATATCAATTTGAAGTTGTTTAAAAAAAATACGTTATGCAACAATAAAAAGAGTTCTAAATATGATTGTTGTATACCATTTCAAAGCTCATATTTTGACCTATCCGAAACTGTAGAATCTATAAATTTAAACGCAATAGAGCCTGTATAAAACTACATATAATGTTAAGGTAAATTTAATGGTTTTGCCTCATAAAAATAACTAAGTACGCCTCTGTTCGCCGCAGTTTGCCATAGAGCACTTGAAAGCCCTTTATATTATCTTTCGAAAAATGCAATTAAAGCTTGCGGAAACTTGCGGAAACGCTAAAACGAAGCATTTAAAAACTGCTATGTTTTTGCTCTTTTTTTGAGTTTTGGCATTTTTTTACATTCGCGATTGACTTTGACGATACAAGGAATTTGATCACCATATGCGGCTCCATGTCAAGGGGGTTTAACCTCAAGGAAGGAGATCTATTTGATTATAAAACATGATTATATGATTTCATTGACGAAGTGAAACTGGCTCACAATAGGGGTGTCATCCTCCCCCTGCACTTTCTGGAGCTGATAGTGGTGACCAGCCGTTGAACCGGTAAATTTATTTGTCTACGCAATCTAAGTGCATTACGGAATCTAATAACAAACATTTGTGAATTTTCTGCTTCATAAGAGTGTTACTAATCCTTACTCGATCGCGGGTAAGCAATCTCAAGATAACAAAAGACCTTTTTATTGTTTCATTCATTGGCATGCGCGTTAAACACGTCAAGACATGATATTCACCTGCGTTTAGCACCATTAGCAAGTCAATCAACCAATAACAGAGCGAGCGCGCAAGGATTGGTTCGTACGCGAAGGGAAGGTAACAGAATACAGATGGCAAAGGAAGAAGACAACTAACAGATAAGTGGCTGGTTTTCGTTGTTCGTGCTCATTCGTGTTCAAACTTTTGTTTCAACTCGGCGTGAAGTTATATGCCAGCAATATGGCAGTGAATAAAGCGCCCATTACATATGTCAATATATTGACAAACATCGTATTGTCAATTTTCCTTACAATATAATCAATATATAAATATTGACAACATTAATGACAATACACTAAAGCGTTTGTTACACAGGTCAATATATTGACAATAAATTGACATACTGACAATATTATTGAAAGATAATATTGATGACGATGGTTTGATGATGAGTATTGTTGAAAACTGATTTTCATTTCACTTTCTCAATATTGAACAGGGATGCCATTCTCCCCAGTGTAAGCAGGGTGATCAGTTGAAAAGACACCTCGCACTATGACAAAAGCAAACTCACCCGAGAGATTTTTATTTTGTTTTCACTTTCTACCGCTTCTCCCACTTCGCAAACAAATGCAGTTTCTGACCTCGCACCTCCACCAGTCCAACACATCGGAGCGTATGAGTGATCACTAGGGAGCACCGTAGAGAGTTCGTTTGCTTCACCGGGGAGAATCACCCCGGTGCGCGGTGAAGGCTTTGGTTGTTAGTTTGTTGCATACAACGATTTTTAAAGGTTAGTTTTTATTAACGTACAGTAATTACAATTAATTTAAAATTTGGTAAAATAATAATGTACACATTTTGGAAATGCGAATACGAATACGAATGCATCATTATTGAAATTTGCTTCAGTTTAGTCGACAGACAGACATGGGACAGAGATTGATTAGGATCACAGCAGGATTTCCACAAAGCTCCATCCTTGGTCCAACGCTCTGGAACGGGATGTACAACGGCGTGCTAACGCTGAAGCTGCCCAAAGGAGTTGAGATCGTTGGATTTGCGGACGACGTCGTCTTGACGGTAACAGGCGGAACGCTGGAAGAGGTGGAAGTGTTGGCGACCGAGGCGGTCGACATGATTGGTAACTGGATGCAAGAAGCGAAGCTGCAGATAGCCCACCACAAAACGGAAGTGCTATTGGCCAGTAACTGTAAAGCGGGCAGATATCACCGTCAAGGGCACGTCATAACCTCAAAGCGTGTTGAAACACCTGGGAGTGATGATCGATGATCGGCTAAACTTCAACAGCCACGTCAAATATGCCTGTGAGAAGGCTGTATACATTGATGTTTTCACTCACTCACGTAAAACTCTCCCGGAATCTTTGAGGGAACAACCCAACAAACAATTGAGAGCTCTTATAAAACACCTGAGTTGATCAAACGTTGAATAATAGCTTCCAGAGTTGAACAAGAATGTAGTTGTATTGCCATTTGATTAAAAGTTTTAATAGCTGTTGGAGCACTCTTAAATGATTGTTTACGTTCGGTTTAACTATATGCTTTATAAGACCTACGATACCTTTTATAGCACCTTAGTTAAACTGATTCACAAGAGCTATACAGAACGTGGAATAAACGCATCAAAACAAACCATTGGGAGCTCTTATACAACACTTGAGTTGATCAAACGTTGAATAATAGCTTCCAGAGTTGTACAAGAATGTAGTTGTATTGCCTTTTTGGTTAAAAGCTTCAAAAACTGCTTGGAGCACTCTTAAATGATTGTTTACGTTCGGTTAAACTGTTTGACAGGAGCCATATAGGATGTGGAATAAACGTATCAAAACAAACCATTGGGAGCTCTTATACAACACCTGAGTTGATCAAACGTTGAATAATAGCTTCCAGAGTTGTACAAGAATGTAGTTGTATTGCCTTTTTGGTTAGAAGCTTCAAAAGCTGCTTGGAGCACTCTTAAATGATTGTTTACGTTCGGTTTATGCTACGATAACTTTTATAGCACCTTTGTTAAACTGATTGACAAGAGCTATATAGAACGTGAAATAAACGCATCAAAACAAACCATTGGAGGCTCTTATAAAACACTTGAGTTGATCAAACATTGAATAATAGCTTCCAGAGTTGTACAAGAATGTAGTTGTATTGCCTTTTTGGTTAAACGCTTCAAAAGCTGCTTGGAGCACTCTTAAATGATTGTTTACGTTCGGTTTACCTATATGCTTTAAAAGACCTACGATAACTTTTATAGCACCTTAGTTAAACTGATTCACAAGAGCTATACAGAACGTGGAATAAACGCATCAAAACAAACCATTGGGAGCTCTTATACAACACTTGAGTTGATCAAACGTTGAATAATAGCTTCCAGAGTTGTACAAGAATGTAGTTGTATTGCCTTTTTGGTTAAAAGCTTCAAAAACTGCTTGGAGCACTCTTAAATGATTGTTTACGTTCGGTTAAACTGTTTGACAGGAGCCATATAGGATGTGGAATAAACGTATCAAAACAAACCATTGGGAGCTCTTAT